CCAAATGAATACTGTTCTCCTTTTGCTATATGAAAAAGAAAGTGGCATTTTTTCTACAGGTTCTACTACTTCCAAATTGCAGAGTACATTTAGCTCCATGCCTTTTTCATATTTTCAGGATCAAAAGGCAAAAACTCCTTGGGTAGGTCTGCTAGTACATCTGAAGACAACCTGAAAATGAAACCTTGGGAATGCAAGGCTCCATCAAAAACACTGAAAAACAAGAGGGAATACTTATCTTGACATAGTGAGAGCATAATAATGGAACTTGTGACACACCTTTGAAGAAGAACAAGGACACGGATATTTGTGTGTATGTGCCCTTGGTGGAACATCTGTAATCACACAAATTTGCAGTACGGTGTGCCATCTGTAATAAAGTTCAATAAATAAGGGCCAAGATACCTATCTTGTGACTAGAAAATGTCAATCATGGTATATGAAACCTATTGGAAATGGATGGTTGATGCTTTATGCCACAGCAGAATATGAAGAATTCCCACCTCCGAGAAGAGGCCCACATCTGTTATAGGACCATTAATTTCAACCTCTTGCATGTAGCTAATACTAAGTACGTGATCACCTGACAGCAAGGGTATGCTTGACACTTTTAGGAAAATTACAGGGGTCAGCAGAGTTGGTTTTTGGTTTTGTTTTTGTTTTTAATTCAGACCTAAATCTGTTGGATATAATCATAACATAACATCATATTTTTTTCTCTGCAACAGTGAGTGAAGACCTCATTGACCATGTTATTCATCACTTAGTCATGGAAAACTTAAAACAGTTCTGCACAAAAATTTACAAATAAAAGGAATTAATTAAAAAAAAAAAAAGAGAGGTTTATGGAAGATTATCAAACAAGTTATCCTTAAAACCACTATTAGGCACAAAATGGACTGGTGATTGGGAACAGCCAGCATGGATTTATCAAGGGCAAATCAAGGTCTGACCAAGCTGGTTGCCTTCTACAATGGAATGACTGGTCTGGTGGACAAGGGCAGAGCAGTACATGTTTTTTCCTGGGACTTTAGCAAGACCTTAGGCACAGTCTGCCTTCTTATCCTGGTAGAAAAACAGGTGAGATATAGCCTACCCATTATAGGGTGGGTAGGAAACTAGAAGAGCTGAAATTGTGATCAGCAGTTCAAAGCCCAACAGCTCATGGCCAGCTGCTAGTGGTGTTCCTCAGCAGTCAATACTGGGGCTGAAAATGGTCAACAATTTCATTAATGGTTTGGAAAATAGGACTGGAAGTGCTCTCAGCAAGTTCATGTATGACACCAAACCGAGGAAAGGAGCAGTTTATGTGCTGAAGGGCAGAATAGCAGAGGAGGTTTGATTAGGATGGAGAAACAAGCTGCTAGGAACTCATAATGTTCAGCAAAGAAAAATGCAAAGTCCTACACCTGGGATAGAATTAATCTATCCACCAAATATGTCAAGACAGTCAGCTAGACAAAAAACAGCTTTGCACAAAAGGACCTTTGGGTCCTGGCGGACTGTGAATTAAACACTGTAGTGCACCTTTGAGCCTACAAGGCTAAATGCATATTAGGCTACAGTTATTAAAGATCAGAAGATCTGGAAAAATGGTTCTTTCCCTCTGTTCACTGCTTATCAGGCCACATTTGGAATGTTGTGTCTGGTTTGAAGCTCTCCAGATCAAGACAGACATTGATAAACTGAATCAAGTTGAGTGAACGATGAATCTTATTGCTTTCTTCACTATCTAATGTGTGCTTATATAGGAGACAGCACCACACTCTCTCCTGTGCACAGGCAATGCACAGCAAAAAAGATGAGATGCAATAGACACAAGTTGCAGCAAAGGATATTCCAATTACACATAGACACATATCTACATGTACAAGTGAAAGTGGTCAGACACTGGACAAGGTACCAAGGGAGGCTGTGGAACCCCCTTCCTTGGAAATTTCCATCCAAAACTCAACTTGAATGAGACCTGAGCAGCACCAACAAACTTTGAAGTTACTTCTGCTTTTACTTCAGAGGATTGGATCAGATGAGCTCCAGAGTTTCCTTCCAGTCTAAATTATGCTGTGATTCTAAGACTTTCTCTAAGATTTTCTCTACGATTACTTTCTTTTGGAAGGCATCCCACTTTGACAAAGCCAACAGTTAGACCCATCTATTTTAGGTTTCTCAGCTAGGTACTAGTCTGTCTCTTTGGTTTTCATTACTGTTACTAGATTTCTAAATATATTATGCACGACATTCCAGCTTCACTTTTTGAAATAACAGTCAAGGCATAAATTTGGAGGAAATGTTTATACAGAGGAGAGTCTGAATATCATAGAAGGAAAAAAGAATGAGCCCGAGAATGGCAAAACAGGAGTGGAATACAATGTTAAATAGAAAGCTGCACTGTTAGTGGCTAATAACAGGAATATCTGCTCCAGGTTAGGGGCTCCTTAGCTGACAACTTTTGAGAGGACAGTAAGTGTACCTGTTAATTGTAGATAATCAGGAACCACTCTTATAAAGATGCTTTTCTGAAAATGCTGTATGTAACCTTAGAACATATCAAACAAGCCTTGAGATAAGGAATAGTTAATATTTCAAGATGTGGCACTGATGAGATTACACCTGGAATATTGTATACATTTTTAGCTGTGTGCATTGCATGGATCCAGATAGAAAGCACTGTAGCCAAGGGCTCCAAGGATGTGCTTCAGAATCAAGAGAGCCTACTTTTAAAAAAATTATTAAGCATGATTAACTTGTTTATCTAGTAAAACGGGTTGAAAAACTGCTCTTTTCATTTATGATCAAGGTTGAGTCCTAAGTATCAAATTGAGAGGAAAAGCTTTTATAGAAAAAGGACCCTGGCAGTTCAAAACCAGAACATAATTTGATCTCTGAGTGGACAGCAGTGATGAGTGGCGTTCCTCAGGGGTCGGTATTAGGACTGGTGCTGTTCAACAAAGAGCAACTCAACAACATGGAGAGTGGGACTGAGTGCACCCTCAGCAAGTTTGCCAGCGACACCAATCAGCATGGTGCAGTTAACACACTGTAGGGAAGGGTTGACTGGATGGTTCTGGATGAGGGACCATGACAGGCTTGAGAGGTGGGCCTGTGCAAACCTGATGAAGTTCAACAAGGCCAAGTGCAAGGTCGTGCATGTGGGTTGGGGCAATCTCATGCACAAATAAGGGCTGGGTGATGAGTGGATTTAGAGCAGCCCTGCAGAGGGCTTGGGGGTGTTGGTGGGTGAAAAACTGACTATGAGGCAGCAATGTGCACTCACAGCCCAGAAAGCCAACTGTACCCTGGGCTGCATCAAGAGAAGTGTGGCCAGCAGGTCAAGGGAGGGGATTCTCCCCCTCTATTCTGCTCTTGTGAGATCCCACCTGCAGTGCTGTGTCCAGATCTGGGGTCCCCGAAATAAGAAGGACATGGACCTGCTTGAGCAGGTCCAGAGGAGGCCACAAAAAAGATCAGGGGGCTGAAGCACCTTTCTTGTGAGGACAGGCTGAGAGAGTTGGGGTTGTTCAGCCTGGAGAAGAGAAGGCCCCAGGGAGACCTTATAGCAGTCTTCCAGTACTTAAAGGGGGATACAGGAAAGATGGGCCTACAGGAAGTATAGGGACAGGATGAGGGGTAATGGTTTTAAACTGATAAGACACTGGCACAGGTTGCCCAGGAAAGTTGTAGCTGCCCCCTCCCTGGCAGTGTTCAAGGCTGGGTTGGACGGGGTTTTGAGCAACCTGGGCTAGTGGAAGGTGTCCCTGCCCATGGCAGGGAGGTTGGAACTGGGTGATCTTTAAGGTCCAGCTCAAACCATTCTATCATTCCATGATTCTGTGACACTGTCAGTTCAAAACTAGAATACAGTTTGATCATGACTGGAAATTAAAAGAATGTTCCTATGCATCAGATGACCAATCTTTTGCAGTAGCCTTAGAAGTGGATGGAGTGGGAGGAAATGCAATTCTTACTATTCTTGAGGCAGGGGTTGGCCTTTTCACAAAAGGTGCTTTTGAGTTTGCAGACTGAATTTGTGATCTGGATTCCTCTTGCACTCCAATTTTATAATTTTACTAACACTTGTAGTTGAATTGCCCTGACATACAGCTTTGGAATGGCTACCATTTTCTGGATGATGATGCCTCTTTTTCTAGGAAGCTAAAGGGAATTGTCTGGTTGAGAGTCAGAAAAGCCATGAGCAGTGCAAGGTACTGCTGATAACAGTATTGAAAGTAAAATTAAATTAAGATCATACAAAGTTCAGCATTGTTAAGTAAGCTGTAATTGTTCATAGCAAGTAAAAGAATGGGCGTGGTGACAGAGATGGCAGGAAAGGGTACGTGAACTACAAGGAATGGCACATTTTGGTGTATCACCCAGGCAGACAGTAGTTATAGTTCACATGCTTTAAGCATGACTTCTCTTTTAACTACAATCACTCTCAGGAATCGGGCATAATCCACAGCAAGGGCACAATTCAGTAAAATACTTCTCAGGAAATCAGGTTTCCTTGAACTAGAGTTTTAAGTAGGTAAAAGGCTACTCCAAAGTACACATAGCCCAAATATATTTTCACAGTGGGTTTGCCTGTGCTGTTAAATAGCACTGACCTATAAATCTGAACAGTCTTCTAAGCATGAGTGTTTCCTCAACACCCAGTTTGTTCAATATACCCAAGGCATTATATTTTATCTTCCTACTAGTCCTTGACTGGCTCTAGGAGATCTTAGCTGAATAGACTTTAGCCATAGACTATGAAAATAAAATTTCATACCAAAATATATTTTAGGTATCAATAACCAAGAACAATTCTAAAGTTGAGACACTCCATTTTTAAGTGCCAGGAAAGTATGAACTATTATAATCTTGGCATGTTCAGGAAAAAGGTGTTTCACAGGAGTGTACAGGAAGGAACACATTTGCAAACTTTCTACCTAATTTATTTTTCACCACTGTGGAGAAACATGTATTTTGGGACCTTTAACAGAGGGCAGAACTGGGCGGAGACAAGATTAAAACTGCCTAAACCATAGTTTGTGTAGAAGTTAATGATTCTTCTACCAAGTACCAGCACAGACTTGTTAAGGAGAGAATACTCTGACTTTTGAGCATTTGGTGGTAGTATGACTGCTGTTGTGGTGGATACAGAACCTAGGTAGGAATGTCTTTGATATTCATTTGTCTTAAAGTGTTGTCATTTAGTGTTTTCAACTAATGAACATTACCTGTGTAGTCCTAGTTGTATTTCCTGTGACAAGAACACCAGTAGCATTTCTGTTGTAAATGTCAATGCTTTAATGATGGCATCATACATTTGTATGTGTGTCTCTGAACAGTAAGCATCATATGTCAGGAGCAATACAAACAGCGTTTAGACCTGCACAGCACTGTGGTATTGATTTTTCATATTACATTAACTTAAAAGGTCTTATTATGATTCCTTAATGTATTTAAAAAGCAATAAGACAATTGGATTAGCACTTCAATTAGTGTAAATCAGTACAGTTTCATAAACTACTGGGTGAAATATGGCTCTTGATTTGTGATATGGTAGTCTATTGAATGGTGGTATAACCCCTGAGAGTACAACTGCAGTGAGAAACAGCCCAGGGACTTAGAGTGTCTGTGTCGGATTCGAAAATTCCTCAAACATCAATGTATTTTTCTTTCATAAGAATCTACAAAATCTGTAGCAAACTATTTTCTTGACTTTTGTAAACGAATTACTGGTTACTTATGCTAAGTGTTTAAATTGGTGCTCTTATTCATTATAATTTGCATATCATTAGGGGGTAGAAAACCAAGATTTAATTTCTTTAATGTTCATTAAGGAAAAAATCTACTTAACAGTCACAGGGTTAGGCCATGGCCCCTATAAGGTCATACACTGAAGCACTGAAGAAGTCTGAGACAGCCCTTTCCAAGGCTCACTGCTGAACTCTGGAATGGACTTGCAAGGTGCCACATGCTTCCCATGACACTGCCAAAGCTCTCAGCTCCCACCAACACAAATGATCCACACTAATTATTAGTTAAGACCCTTGATCTCCATCCACCCAAAGTGTTTCTCAGAAGAGACTGTACTGAGCACAAGACCAAACAGGTGTAACTACCTGCTTGTCAAATGCTCCCAGGATGGGATGCAAAAGTGAACTGGAAGAGTGTTTGCTTTCATTCTCACACTATGGCTTCTCAGTTTTGATGGGTTTTTTTCCTTATGCCTGCTTTTGGGAAGAGGATTGTTTTCAGCCTTGGGGAAGGAAGTTGGGTGATTTGGAGCAGAAAGCTTCATACTTTTGCTTTGTTTGTAACCAGATCCTTGGTTCATCAAACATGGAAAAAAACCCTAGCAAAACAAATCTAAAATAGCAACTTCATCAATAGTTGAAACCATCAGGCTCAACAGCTAATTCATGTTGATATCAATCGTGAATTGACCTTTAATCTTTTTTTCTAATCTTCTTGTGGCAAGGCATTTCCACAGTCCTGATCTCTTCTATCTCCACCAGAAGATTTCCATGTAGGTCAGGGTCAAATGAGGATGGGAGGACATGCTGCCAGCAGCTCCAACTGTTGATCCTTGTACATAGCTCACTCTAACATGTCCCCAGCACAAGTTGCATCATCTTTTTGCTAACTTGCCCTCAACCCACCCTTCCCCAGCAAAAGCACCACCATCTTCAGTAGCACCTTTGCAAAGCAATGTGTCATTCACCACTGACAGGAGCCTTCACAATTTTCTGTGTGCATCAAGCAGCTTTTGCCCCCCAGAGATTAATTTTACTTTATTTTTCTTCTCTTTTTTTTTATACTTTATCATGCCTGGCACTTTAACCTCTGCCTTTGGATGCCTTTTTCACTATTTGCCTCTAACTGGTTAACCTGCTTTTTGATACTTAACACTTTCAAATCTGATTTTCTTGTGCTTTCACAGTCTTCCTCTGAAACATTTACTGGGACTGCCTGCTAATATCTGTACTTCTTCAGTTACATGTATGGATACCTAACTGCCTTTCTCTTTTCTCTACTTTGCCTCTTATTTCTATCTTTATGTTTCTCTGCCTTCACTCATTCTCTCCTTATATTCATATACTGTCATGTTGTATACTTCTAAAAAAAGCCACTTCATTCTGTGAACTTCAATGGCATGCTACTCCAGTATCTTATTGTAATATTTAATGTATCATAATAACAAGGAGAAGCTAATCTCTTCAGATTACACAAGGACAGACAAATTTCAGAGGACCAGATGCTCAAAAGTATTTGTGTACTAACTTTTCTTGAGCACTAAGAATCTCATTTCACAAGCATTTCTGTTGGTTGTTGTACAAACTTGAGGAAATCCTTTCCCCTACCTCTTGTTCCTATCTGTCTAATGATCCAAGGGGAACAAAAAGCTGTTTTTCATCTAGATTTGTGTTCTGACCCAGATTTACAGCACAGCCACAGAAGAAGTGGTACTCTTGTGAGTAGAGTGTGGGAAGCAGGTATGAGCAGTGGGAAAGGAAAGGAGTTCTTTATGCTAGCGGTAGTACCTAAGGACATAGTCATGAAATTAAGCCCAAGAAACTTCTAAAATGTTTAAATCTCTGTTTATGTATTTGTCTTGAACTTTCTTAGGTATTAATCCTCTATCATGTGAGTGAAGAAAAATGTTCTTCACCAGTGTGCGTTAGAGCAATGCCTACCTTTCAAATGTTCTGACGAATGTTACTCTGACGTATGACCCATAGCAATTTGCAATTTCAGATGGACGTTTTCCAGCATTGGAAAAGTTCATCCAACCTTTTTCAGCTCCATTCAAGCATGGAAAAACTGTCATTGTAAGATTTCCCCCTTTCACCCTTTTCTCAGATGAGACTACTGTGAAAGGTGAAATAAATCAGTTCCTGTGAGCTATGATTTCCAAGTTCTAACTTTGGATCATTAGTTTCAATATTTCTGACTAGTGTGTCAAGATTTGCAGATCTGAAGAGGATTTGTTTCAAGTGACCCATTTTTTCTGAGGGGCTCAGCAGTGACATTTGGATTTTCCTTCAGAAAGCTGTTCTGCTTGTCGTTGGAGTTGCACAAATGAACAAGTGTTTTCATTTTTAAATTATCTTTCCAAATAGATCATCGACTCCCCTTACAGCTTTTCATTGAAGTATTCTTTTTAATTCGTTACTTATCCCTCAGAAATAGAGTTTTTAAACAACTGAGAATTATTGTACTATTCATTGCAATAAAATCAAATGCAACTTAATCATGAAATGAGGCCTTCAACAATAACAAAAAATACATTATGTCAAATAAGGAGAAAGAGTTGTCCTCTGGTTACAGAGTGTGCTTTTCCCAGGGGAAATGGAGCAGTTCTGCTGAACTGCTGAGTTGCAGATGATTTCATGGATTAGGGAATATAGACAGGCCTCTGCAAACAGAAGCAGATTAGGGATACCTTGAATACTACTGCAGTAAGAAAAAATATATAATCTTCTTACAGGAGGTCAGGTGGCTAAACCAGTCAATTCTTTTGTCATTAAGAATTGTTTCCAACAGGCCAGCCCAAAGGAATAAGTTAGCACAGTGTTACTACAGAGATCTTACCAAAATGATGACTGAGTTTAGGAACCACACGGCCTGCAAATACAGAACTTCACTAGGACTACCCGTGCTTCAGCACTGATGCTTTTTTTTACCCTTTTAGTTTATTTTTTGACAGACATTGTCTCTTAGTCTTTTGTGGAATTTGTCTTTTTAGCATTAAAAGTCATTCTAGACTGAAAAAAAGGA